ATAGCTATATATATATATATATTTATTTATTTATTTATTTATTTATTTATATGCCTTCTCAGTAACAAATAAATAGATAAATTTACATAATACATGTTATTGTTATTATATATTATATATAATATATCAATCACTCAAATCTGAGACATACAAACATGGGTAAGACTCAAACAATGAAAGAATAAATTTATCAAAAGGTGTAGGCCTATACAATATGTACAATTTATTGATTATGGAATTTGAAAATAAGCTCTATAATTCTCCGTCTTTAATATACAATATATAGTTTCGTTTAGAATAACATAAATCAGACTTTCGAAGTTTTGGCTTAGGTAATAGTTTTACCTTTAGATGACTAGAATTCCAGATTAATTCTAGTAAAACATTTCACTTGTTTATTCACGCCCCGAAACTTCGACTTAGAAATACCAGGGTGTCCGGCGGGGGATACTTTTACATCAAAAATTTTCTTAGGCTTGATAGCAGGCCCGTCGGAAGCTATTTTTATTGGTCCGGCCAAATATCATTGCATCAACATGACTTTTTTTATTATTAATTTTGTCTTTGTGGCTCAAAACACGCATTATTATATTATATCAATCAATCATACTAAATATATCAATTAACCATTCATGCTTTCATTTATATTTGCGCCATGAGATTTCATAAATATTAACGTACGTACAAGTAATAGTGGTTAAACATCGCTTCAACAGTAGAAATGATAATTATTTTAAAAATGTTTCACACTTGCCGATGTATTACCATACGGCCTGCTCAGTAGGCCTATGTTGCAAAACAAAATTGACACGTGTTCGTCTCGAAACTCGTATAAAGGCGCACATTCCTAGTTATTCATATTGCATTATATAATATCATTATGTTCGTGTTTCTTGCACTTTATTCATGGAGGAATAAGCATACTGTATCTTGTGTATACATAACACATGTTTTGTTTATTAGCATACTGTCATCATTTTACAGCAAAATTCTAGGTTTTAAAGTTTTAATCTTTGCTAAAATGGCCGGTCTGTTTCTGAGGTACACATAGTAAATTTTAAAGTTTTAGTGATTTTTATTTTGACTTTTTATTACTTTACTATTTTAACTTGTTAATACCTTAACGATTTCTCGACATTATTACCAAGTGGTTTTGTCTTGTTATTTGTTTAGGTAATTTATCCTTTTCAACCAAGACTGTTGCAAACGAAAAACAAATTCATATTTTAAAATGGACAATAAAGTGTTCTTGAATCTATCTAGAATCTTTTTTATAGGTAATTGACAACATCCGTCAACTTTTATAAATATAATGGACCTATAGTCGATTGAATTTTGGATTGGATTTATTCAGTATCAACACCAAGGATAGCCCACGAAAGTCTGGAAGAAGACTTATTTCCAGTGGGGTCCTTCTGGTGATGATTGGGCAGTCATTGTTATTCATATTGCATTACATAATGTGTTCCTGATTCTTGCACTTTATTTATTCATTAAGGAATAAGCATCTCATTTAATATAATTATGGAAATGATAAGATTTTTTTTCATTTTTGCAATACACTGCCTTTCATATTATTTTAAAAACTAATTGTGATTTGGTCATTATTTTTCAAGATAGCGTTCTTAACGACTGTACTCTCGAAAAAAGGCCCAGTCGGAACCTAGTTTCGCCACTGGGAAAATGCAGTGGGAAATTCGAGGGAGGTCTCAGCCGCCCCCTCCAAATGATCAGCTGCTCTGTACATCGCAAGGGACCTAGTGTTTAATTTAAAAATAATTAAATTAGTGGGCGAAATTAACTGAATTATTTCTTAGCAGTTTTAATTATTCAGTAAATTCTTGCTTTTGGTGCAGTAATATAACGTACTAGATGGTAAACTTAATAGGCCTATGTATATATGTATATACAAAAAAATACAACATCATACAATGGTCACCATTTACATACACAAAT